AATAATGTATAGATAATATTCGAAAGGAAACTTGTTATAGATTAAGGGAAGTCTAACTGACTGTGGTTGGTGGAGGGTGATAGGAGCGAGTGACAGGTGAATAGAATGATGGCATGACGGACGGACGACTGATAGAATGGATGGAAGTGGCGGTGGTTTGGGCAGAGCTGTGTGGTGCGTCTGTGAGTGCGCGTGTATATGTGTGTGCATGACTCACCATTGCTCTTTATCGTCGTTTTTTCGTCCTAGATTTCATAGCCGATAGTACACTTTGGCGTGACGGGGCCTCATCGCGATCAATCGATATTTAAAATTCGCGCTCGCATACAATCGGATCATCACGTCTGTTCGTTGGACGAACACATTACAATTTGCTGTCGAAGCGCTTACGATGCCGACCGAGGCATCCACAGCGGTAGCGCACTGCCTTTGGTCGCCATCGAACAGCCACAAACTAACCAACCAACGAACGAAGAAACGAAGAAACTATTAAACAGTTTATAGTTAGTCATAATGAGAAATGAGTGGGTGAAACGGACAATTACGCATGCATACACGCACGCAGACTTACACATATTGTACAGTTGCTACCTCAGAATCAAATATCGTAATGAGAAAGGTCAAACTATTCATTCAGGGCGGTCATTGTGGTCATTCACCGAGAAACCTAGTCAAAACGCTTTGTGGAAAAGCGAAACGCTAGTAGAGTGTTCAATGTTAGATACTTTCTACGATCACCGTCTAATCGCATCCACAAGAAGCTGCAGACTGGAGAGCAGTAAAGTCATATCTGGAGGGTTTTCAAAATTCATTTACCTTCAACGGAATCAATCTAGCACTTTAGAGAATACTCTGTCATTGAGCCAAGTCGTTGCTTCAGAAATGGTTTTCCTGTTTCGAATAGGAGGTGTTCATTGGCGACAATGAAACTAACGGGCGAAAGCAATGGGTCGCAGCTTGCTAGTCGATGGGCGAGGGAGCAAGCCATGGCGAGACGCCGAAGGTGAGCTGGGCTGAGAGATTTGTCCTCAGCGCCGCCTAGACCACCCAGAGTGCTTGGCATACTCCATAAACAACGCTTGGGGTCAGGTCAACTGTCGTAATCGCGTTGCGGCCTCCTAGACTGCAATGCGGCCTTGACCCATACGCAACGTTAGCCGATGCGAAGAGGGGTCGTCGACAACGGTGACCACGACGACGACGTACCATCGCCACCACCGCTCGTGGATGTGTACGTACATCGGTCGTATCTGCCCCGTGTTTCGCACGTAACCTCTGACGCAACCTAAAATGTGAGATCGGGGACAAGTTCACCCCGAATCTGATAGCAGAATTATTCGCCTCTATTCGATTCGTTCGCTTAGTTGGTCATGTTGTGTTAAGACTCGGGGGAGGCCGAATCATCGTTCAGAACAGCGTGAGCAAAAATAACGAGCATGAACACATTTACGTTCCAAGGAGGCGTAGTAAAAATTAGTCACCTCAACTTATAAATAGTAACTGGCAACTGGAAGCTGAATAACGCTTCGAGGGCAATAATTTTCACTTATAACTCAAGCGATTCTGCAGAACTCTAAGGCAATGCAGCACATACGTCAACCGTTCCAGTGACTAACCATCCTAGAATCACACAGCAAAGTTCAGAATAAGCAATGATCACCGCTGTTTTGACGGCAGGAAATCGAATGTTTTTAATAGAAAAGCATCACAAAAGTGAAGCAGTTTTGGAGCGGCTGAGCTAATAATCTCAAAAACCTGATGTAGAGAACATCAGGGGTGAATCGCTCAATCACTGTGGGCCGAAGAATCTGTATGTAGCCTCAGGTCATAGCCTCGTATGTGATTTGCTTGTGATGACCAACATTGAGCGCGAATGGCTAGAGTGTACGAGTACGCATTGTCTTCATTCATATTTATAAAAAGGATCTATATCTCTTTTCCTCTCTCTCTTATCTCAGAGAATAATTTTCAATGAAGGCAGAGTGATTTAGTGATGTTCAAGTAGCTAGTTTGTGTGCAACTGTTTGAAGTCGCGGTTTCTGTTTACATCGGGATTACTTACTGATTGCAAACCAAGCAACGATCGTTCATGGTATTACGCTCGCAGAAACGGATTGACATTTGACTAGTTCAAGAACCCAACTTATCGAACGCTTTTCTGACAATGTTTAAGTAAGTATCATATTAGTTACGGCCGTTAAAGAGGATTACATGGAAGAAAGGAAGGCTGAATCTGCTATCTGCATAGCACCAGCGATCAGGCACACAGGGTAAGAAAGTTTTAAATCAGCTCCATCTAGAGCACCACTTCCATTTTCTGGGCCGACTTTGGCCCACACTAGTTAATGTTGAGTTTTGTTCGCAGGGTAAGAAGAACTGAGGTTATTGGATCGAAGCAATTGAGGCCTTTGAACGACACTAATCAAACTATGCGCCATTGGGATCGACACATTTCTCACTTCTGCGAGGCAAAAACTCGTAGAGCACTCATTCTGTACTCGTCATTGACCTGGCCACTCAGTTTTCGACGCAACTGGTTGTGCTGCAGAACGTCTTCTTACTAGGAATGGTCTCTAGTGATCCCGAAAGATAGATTGATAGATCAGGTGAGTACGGCGCATGGTCGAGCAGCTTATAGCCCAGTTTGGTTCGGTTAGAGGTGCTTTCAGGTCCAGCGTTGCCTCTGTACTCGTAAAACAGAAAATTTCTTCCTGCGACACCCTTTGGCATACTGAATAAGGGCAGAGTGCTCATCGAAGCTCTGAAAGAACATTCTGCTCATTCTAGTGATGAAAAGAAGATTTTCATTTCTGAAAGAAAGGTTCTTTCATCATTACAAAATTTATTTTCACAATTAAAGGCGAGGTAAGTTAAATTAATATTGCGAAATCGAAACCAAAATGTGAAGTCAGCGACTATAGACATAGGCTCCTGGATGTGTGACTACTAACAGATATGATATATAAAGTTTTGATGAATCAGTTTCCATCATAACAGTCAGTTCAATAAAGTTGACAGCGCCCACCACTCGGAGCGGCAGCAATACTTCACCCACGCATCGCCTGCAACCATGAACTATTACTAGTACTTTCAGAACTGTCAACAGAACGGCAATGTATGCAGTTTCCATATTCTTCCGATGCATACCACTAGCATGCTTCGGAGGTGACGAAAGTAGGGCAAGTTTTATGATCGACGAATATCTTTCAGGAAACGCGATTTTAAATCCTTTCTATTTCTGAAGATTCAGGGAAAGCTACTCGCCATGTTGCTGAATGCGATCCACTTACATTTTTCCGGATCCTGTTTTACAGCAGAAAAGGGCTTGCCAGGTAGCCTTTTAATACTTTACTCTTTAGTGATTGCTGGGACATGCTACAGTGGGAAGAATTAGAACGAGGTTTTCACAGCATTTTATGACTTTCAAAGTATTCAAGAAGTGTAAAAATAGTAGCAAATTTAATTATAAAACTTTAGTTCTTCTTGAACTTGCCAATTCATCTTGTCACTATGCTTTGGAGAAAAACTCCACCTCCCCAAACATTTCCTTCCAAATCCCTCCTTTTGAACGCAGCATCAAAAGAAGGAAGTAGAAAATGGGTCTGAAGCTGAACATGCAATTCGCTTTATGCACCTTAAACAGCCATGAATTCAGTAGTTTAATGCCAGTTTCTAGAAATCTAGAAATTCTTGAAGTTCTAGAATCTACATTCTTGAAAAAAAAATCCAGAAATTTACCGGAATCTACTGGTGATCTGGTGATTTGAAAAGGTTTGCTCTATTTGCGGAATTATTTTTTTCCAAAATTGCAACATATTTCAAACATTTCAGTGGATTCATCAGGCATCCTTTTGTTAAACACGAATTAGTAGCAATATCATAGAGGAAGGTTGGTTTTCGAACAAAAATTGTTTCAACTAGCTAATCAAGCAATGGGACGCATCGGAGCTTGAGACGATCTCGAAAATTACCAAGATCATAGCCGATCCCAGTATCTACAATGTCTCTACCTTGTGGGTACCTTGCCTGGGATTCATGGTGGCAAGTGGATGATCATGGAATGACCTGCGATAAGAATTCTGTGGATTATATTTCGAAGGTAGAGCTCCATAGTCCATGAATATAGCTCAGTTTTGTAGATACTGGTGTTTGAAAGATAGGGTGCTATGTCGTTCCGTCCAGTTTACTGTTGAGTTAGTTTCCATGGTAACAGGTTCATCTAATCCTCTTGCAAGCCTCTAATAGATCCGTGAGAAGAAGCCCAGAAATGTTGTGTTTAAGCGTTGTGCAGTAAAATCTGGAGTTCCATAGCCCTCACCTTGCGTATGAACAGCACGGAATCTCCACGTCTTCCATTCGGGTAGAATTGAAGTGTCAGGAAAAGACGGATATGCATTTTTCGCTTTTGCTTGGATATGGTCTCTTTTTAAAGTAAAAGGAACTGAAATGGCGCTTCTCTCGATAGTAGTGCATAGAGTATTATGCATTTGTTAGTGATATTCCAGTGTGTTGTAGTTAGAAATGAATAGCGCAATGGCTTGGGGCGCCCATCGCAGCGAAGACTTTCACAGGATCAAATCGAAAAAGTCAAGAAGTCTGTAGGATGTTACTGATGCTGAATGACTATAGATACATTGGCACGAGGCACTTCTAGGTGTATTAAAAAGTCGCGAAGCGTATCCGAACGTGCGACGTCGGATTGCTTAGCTTGTCATAGCTGTGTAGGGTGGTGCTGTCTAGAATCATCCTTTCTTTTGGTGCATATATATGCCCTCTGGAGAACGTTCCTGATGAATGTGTTTTAATGCTGACTTCATTTACGGTGTTGTTTCATCTTAGAGACTATGCAGTTCAGGACTATTAATGAGTGAGGATTGTACCATCAGAATGTGTGCAGACGGAACCTCAGTGAGTAGACCTGATCTGCGCAGGTCATCCATTGTAAAAGTAAAACATACATTCGCATTGCAGCTTCATATTCATTCAAGAACTAACACAGTTTATTTAAGTTCAATTGGGGTGGTGAAGTAGACTTTGGAGTAGACATTGAGTTGATTGTAAACTTCTGAAGCAATGAAATTCCATTGTGATCGCGTTACGAGCAACGATGTAGTCACACGGAGAGTCCCTTGCTGCAAAAATAGTTCATTGCAAAGGTTCATGAGATCACATTCACCGTTCCTGTGGTCCCCAGCCAACCTTTGTATGGTTGTAGCAGATGCACGACGTGACAAAATAGGAATGCAAGGAAACTCGCACAGGAATTCGGAGTTTCTTTTGGATTGTACCTTGTGTCATATTGCTGTATGCGCTCCAATAACAATATCACGAGATTTAAAATGAAAGCCTTCGAGGATTATAGTTTACTTAAAAGTGTAACGACGGCATAGCTATTTCCTCTCACTTGCGAGGATTGGTTTCGTACCAGATCATGCATAACCTCAAATGAAGGTTATCATGGTGTTGGTTCGCGAAGGCCCGATCGTTCCAGGACCAAAAGGGATGTTTGGACTTTTCGTTTCACTAACTACTTTTGGTGCTCCCACTGAAGGCGCTCTGTGGTTGAAAATTTAATTGATAAGTGTGACCAACTGCCAAGGACTAATCGACAAGACCTCACCTCGTACTTGACATTAACTGTTAGGAATGAATACCTGAAGGTTGCTAGTGCCGGTGTCAGAGTCAGCCACAGTTCGCATTGCCACGACAGCTCCAATTTGAGGAAAGCACGTTCCAACAGCTCTCCATCCCTGTATTGGAGCATTATTGCGATTGTAAGAAGTAGGGTAGGCTTCGACTAACTGGCTGGCCATTGTCTGCACGTATGAGACAGTTCTGAGGAGTGTAACCACTCATCTGCCACGTCGTTCCCTGCGGTGCTACTCCAAGTTTGTTTAGCGATTTTAATATCTGAATCATAGTGTCTATGGCGACCTACTTAGTTTCTCAATTGTCAATTACTAGTTGTTCTACGACAAAGTAGTTTTTTCGGATACCAAAAACAACTCACTGCTCCATCAATATCGTTCTGCATTACTCGCTTGGCATCATTTAAAGTTGGCTGTTGACCAGGATAAACAGTGGCAGTGGAAGCTTGAACACCGGCTGGTGGCACTCCCTAGAATACGACAAAAGTAACTTTCCCACAAGTCGTATACCTCCAAGACCCACATCATAATAAGTCCATGCTATAGGAGGGTAGAATGAGAATGTGAACGCGGGATTGGACACTATCGTGGCATCTGGTCCTGAAAAGGCATCCTTGACTTTCCTCTACAGGAAACAGCTTTACGTACTTCACTTACCAACTCCAGGATTACACGAGTAAACTAAGCGGGCCACAGTGAAAAGTGCAGTTATACTATACATTCTTGAGTGCCCATGAGTCAAACATCTAGTTTTTATATCCCCAAACTTGGTTTTTACAGCCGCGAGTAAACAGTGTGCATTGAAAAAGTAACATTCATTTTTTTTGTGTGTACACGCTTACAAAAGAGGTCACAAGTGAATCAGGCGAGAAGAACCATCGCACACAAAGTTGGTCTCCGAGGGCATTGGAGGCTATTTGCATAGAACCTTAAACCAACATTGCCTGCTCTGTCTGATAAGGGTCCGATTTGAGCACCTATCTGGAGGTTCCATTCATCAGCCTTACATAGGTCGCAGTAATCCTCCAGTATGACTGCAGTATTCTGCAAGGTTGCAAAGAGCGAACAAGTAATCTAAAGTGTATCGCAAGGACAGATCGACCTTTCCCAGTCGGCCTATTTAGCAATTTTACAGCACTGTATGATGCTCTGGTTGGTTCCTGGACTGCAACTTGGAAGTGCAGAAGACTCTGAAGGGGAGAAACCAATTGTCTCCCCCATGAGGAATTTTCCATGGGTTCACGTACTGTTTATGCTAGAGAGCCTACTCTTAAAGTACCGCTAATATAAAATTTAGGAAAAAAGAACAATTGAGCTGAACTTTGAAACTTAAAAGATCATGCTCAATACTGGGTTCTGCGTGGGTTTCCATTTACAACTTGTGCTCAAATCAATGTAAAAACGATGAGTGAATCGAGTTACTGTGACCTACCCACCCCCTCCCCCTATGCTAGGACTGGTTTTCTGAACAACTATTCAGTTGTACCAAACAGTATAAAATTCACTAGTAAGTTAGTCCAAACACTAATCCAGGTAAGTTGGCGATAAGTGGGATGCAGCAAACCGACATTAACAACATCAGTGGGTATACATGCCAGAAGATCATTTCTTTCAAGGAATTTGCTTCATTTTTTAAACATATCTTTCGCGTCACATTTACTTTCGTCATGGATACATCAGTAGGTAAATATAAAAGTCCCTTTCACCTCTGACTCGCCAAACGAAATAAAATGCTGGCTCAGATAAAGAGATCATGCCCTATACCGCACAATTGTTTATGCTTCTTCCTTAACATTTTTTTCCTGCCATCAATGTAAAACAATACGGTCATTCCATACAGCGATGTTCCTGGAAACTAGAACAATACTGATTCAGTCATATTGGGAGAAATGGTTTCGATTCTCTTCGTTAGGGTAAATCCACAAAGAAGAAATATTGGCGCATCAAGGGAGGACAGTTTATGTACAATCTAAAGTTCAGAGTCCTCTGCTGAATTTCGACTTTTGATCCCTTATCAATAGCCCTTTCGTCAGGCAAGGCCTAGCATTCCTAGCGTAGTTGCTGCTTCATTTCCTTGAAAACAAGTCCATCTCGATTGAGGACAGGGAATGAGAAGGGAGACCACAACTGGTTCCCAATGATAAGGGGAGAAAAAGCAAGTGCGACTTCTCTATGAACTCAGTAACCATTCTTGGAATACGCGAGCAATAGATGTACTTGCATTTATATTCACAGGATAAAATTGCGGCTTCAAATAGTCTCTCAAATAATCCATTTTATCCGTTCAAGCACACTATTGGCAAGGAACTCCATTTTAGCACAACTTCTCGATTACTAATACACTAATATAGCTGGTAATACAGTTACGCCAGGCTACTAGTAAAGTATAACAGCAATCTTTCATGCATTCACAATTTATGAGTTTCATTCCAAGAGTAGTTCATGATCTGACTTTCGTCTTTCACTGACCCTAATTTCAGTAGATTTCGATCGATTCTGATTTCCGTCGAGACTCGGAGGCAAGTGAAGTGACTCAGCAAACAATCCGGTTGAAGCTGTTTATCGAACGGACCCTTTGTGAGCAACTCCTTGAACGGTCCGCATTTGTTCTAATTTTTTACATTTTTTTATAACCGCCGGTAGAGGGAAGTTTCTGGTATGGTTCTCCTGAATAGACAAGGTTCGGAAATAATTTATCATATATAGCTTCTTTCGTGCGACCTTCATACCGTGACTAACCTTCTGCAAAGGTTTGGAAACGTGCTCTTTGATAGTGACTTTGTGATAGTAATTTTCCATTGAAGGTGATATTCTGAAACTTAATTAACACAACTATGTTGAGGTGCTTTTGCAGTTGTGTTGAATCAATTGAAATCTCCTATTTACTTCGGGCAAGCCTAACAGTGAATGGCAAAAAAACTTGTGGTTAAGAGACTGAGGAACAGCCAAAGGGCTACGCGTAACTTGTTCCTACTGTTTCGTGTACACTAGTGCAGCTCATTGCACTATACGTTCAAACACAGTTTTTCATGAGGCCAGTGTTTGCTCAATGCTCAATTCACCTGAGTAGCGCATAAGAAAAACGTATTCCAGTCGCGTACGTCTACTCGATCGTCTCTTCATACAAAATTTTTAACAGTATATTCGATTTTGTCTGTCTCCGTCCATTAGATGAAGGCAAAATCCTTCCCCCGTCTGTTTTTGGGGGTTGACATGTCCGCAGGAAAATCCAGCTCCATTGGCAGCGTAAGAAGGATCTCCATGCAGATAGCTGGGTTATTTCACATCGTCTAAAGCATCTATTGAAGCAACTGGTGACGTGGCTTAATCCACTATCGCATTGGAATGATTGCAGGGTTCATAGTAAACTATGCACCCTCTAGACCTCTAGATCACCTCAAATCTTCAAAAGTTTGTGGCTGTGCTAGGATCCCTTCCTGCTCATTGACCCCCCCTCCCCCCCNCCCCCCCCCCCCCCCCCCCCTAGGTTGACCTCTTCCGGCTGATCTTGCTGTTGACCATTTTCACGATGTAAATCGTGAAGCTCGAGCAATGCTGCGGGTAGAATCTCACTCAGACTGAGGCAGTCATCGTCAAGTTACTGAAGTAGATATTGTCTGGCCATATAGGTTATTCACTATATCACACTTGCAATCAAAGGAGGCTGCAGTTATAGAAAAGGGTCGGGCGTAAGGCGCTTTTCGAAGGGTTCTCTCAAAAGTTTGAAGTTTCGAACACCATCTGAACATAAGAGGATATATTATTGAACTTTTTGACTCAATTTTCCACTATTACCTTTTCTTCTAGCAATCTGTAGCGAAAGGTCGTTGTATGTGCTATGAAGTCGTTATTGATCTTACTCAAGCAATTTTTATTCTGTAGATATGGCGGTATGCAGTTACGATACGCATGAAGAAGACCCTTATGACGACGATTATCTGCTGTGCTTCGGGCTGTTTACTATCACTGTAAGAACACTTTTATTTAAAATGATTTCTGAGAAGACATTAGATTCAAACATAAAACTATGACAAGAGCCCGGCGCTTTTCTCAGTGGCTCACACTATCGGCCTGGATAAGATGATATAGCCTTCCTAGCAATTCTGACGATGGCACTACGGGCATACATAGAGGTATTTAAGGAGTCCGTGGGCCAATTGATGCGGTACCATTAAGATTCTTTTTCAAATATTGTTTAATGACAACGGGGAGACGAGCAGTAGGATCGGTTTTGTAATCGATTTGCCGCGTGAGGCAGCCGGGGACCATTCGCCCTGTTAGTACGGTTCAAGCGTACTTCATACAGCTCAATCGACGAGCGATTATTATTTTTGGATTACTATTGTCATGATTCTAATGTTCTTTTGTTCTTTATTAGTCCTTTTGTTCCTGTATCTTACTCGCTGCTGCATTCTGCTACATTCCTTCGCACGCAGCGTCTCTCTTGCCGCGACGCGACAGTTTCGATCCTACTGCACCACACCCATGACAAAGCTCATCCCAGGGCTCCGACATACCAACAAGAAAATAGGCCCAGTATTGACTTGCTATATACATATTGAAGTGGCAAGTCTAGTCCATTGTGCAGTGAAGGGTTAACCTCAAGGTGATTATGATTTGAAAATCCGTCAGGGGAAAAGGCAAAAAGAGTTGATTGCGATGTCCATGCTGAGAGAAGATGCAGAAATTTACTGAAATTTCTCTAAACAGGCTGCCAAAACAACTTTTTTTCGAAATATTTTCGAAGCTATACGGGATAAGTGGAAACATTGCACATGGTCAGTCTACACATGAACTTCGACTTCATCATGATTTTCAGACTGCAGCAAAATTTTTCTCGTGCTATTTTTTCGTCATATGTCTACTGGTATCTGGACTTAACTTCCTCGCGTTTGGTTTTGACCACACGTGGTTCGTAATATTTTTGGCATTCTATTTTTGAACGTATAGTATGGCTAATGATAATGAATCGCTACAACCATGCATTGCTTGGGCGATTCACCTCAACAGCAATCCTCAACAATGACCGACAAAACCTGAGTAGTGAAAATGTTTCCGGCCGTCATTTATGAAAAGTTTTTTCAGGTTTTCCATTTTTTGTGTATTGTTCACAGTATATTCGATCTCAACACTGTACGGTGTATTTCTTGAGAAGAAACTCTTTCTCCTTCCTTTCATCTGCATTCAGGTAATAGTTGCTGATTCTGTGGAGCATTTATTCGATTGTTTTTGTTATGATGTAAATCAACTTTTAAGGGACTGTTTACGGTTATCGTTTCTCTTTTGACGCTCGCCTTGTCCGTCATTGGTGTTGCAACAAATGCAATTCAAAAACATCACGAAGACTCACAACAGCTAAGAGATCTCTATTACCAGTACAATCTCGACCCGGATGACGAGATTAGTAAGTAATTGATTGTTTCGACTTGAGATTTAGCCCAGAACTCCCATGATTCGTTGCCAAAGTCAAGCTAGTACGAAATGGTTACTCACTGTTGCTATACATCACAGGGCTGTAAGATAATGAAAAACCACGTGAACGAGCTCACAACGAAAAAGCTGCTGCATGAGTCGACAACTTTAATGCATTTCACCTTTGTCTTACCTTCCTAGACCACACATTTTTCAGTGAGACCCGTAGGGTAGCTGTCCACGCTTCCCATATACATATATTTCAGCACAAACGATTGCTGCATGGTCCGTGTTGGTGGTGTTACTGTCCATACTTGGAATTTCATCGTTCTCATGGTGGGTCATCTACCAGACATATCGAATTTATGCTTCACGTGATCGGATCGATCGCACTGGATACTGCCAAGGAGTACCTACAACCGAACACCTGTGAACTTAATAATTATTGATTGCTCATGCTGCCGTAAACATGGTTGAACTTGTTGGTTTAGTATCTCAGAACTGTGCTTCTTTTCAAAATGCTAAATACTAATGCATTCAAATATCATTGCATCACACTACACGGAATAATCGCATTTAATAGTTTTGAAAGGTAGTGAATGCTGAGTTCGGTTTCAAGTTTCTTCATGGTCAGTTTTATATTCAGGAGGGAAGCTGAAAGTCTCCAGCCAGGCTGATGTTGATTGTGCCCCCTTCAAAGAGCCCAATTCTCTCGAGCCCATCCACAAATGCCTTCGTGTGGCTGCACGAGTCCTGTCGATACAGAAAATTTGGGATTTCGAAGAAAAATTGTTAACTACCATTTTTTTGCCAATCCCTCACTTCCTTTTGTGAATAACGGAATGCAGCTACCGATGGCAGCACCTTCGATTCCGTGAGATCAAAAGGAGCTGATCGGCGCGATCAAATGTAAACTTGTAACGAGTAGTTTTTGAGAGTACTACCGCTTTTGGTATACGATTGTGATGGTGACCTCTACACAGCAGTTCTCAAATCAGTGTAACTGTCACTCATTCTCCAAACAGTTTTTTATGTTGAAAATATGAGAGCTAACTTTTGATTAATTGCTTTGTTAAATTTTCACTCAAAAGACATGCTTCTGTTTTCCTCATAATAAGTCTTGTATTCCAAGGGAGAACCGAAATTCACCAAAGGCAAGTTGGTGGAGATTGAAGTCCTACAAAGAGCTGAATTCCCTAAGAAAATCCATGGAGGGATTCCTGTATGCTGCTCGAGCCCGATCGATACCGAAATACTCCGATGGCCGAGCAATCGGTGCAACCGGTGCAGGCCCTCATCCCTTGTGCGGCCATCAGGCCACTGCCCATCGTGATAATCGATAATGAGCCATCCATCGATTGTGTGTCTAAGACCCCGATATGGTGTAGCTTAGAAGAGCCGTGATTAGATAGTGGATGATCTTGAGAAAGGAAGAGGAGTAATCTTTCTTTTCTAGGAGGACGCAACTGTAAAGAACGAGATGGAAAGCCTACGTAGCTGTTTACCCATGGACCATCCTTGTATGAGGGGCTCCTTTAACCATTATCCAACCTTGGACTGCTTCTTAAAAGTGGGGATTCTGAACAACTGAGCAAATTGTTGGACCTACCAAGCGACAGTTACATTCCAGCAGCGATATCCGACCCGAGGTTGACCATGGAGTAAGGTTCAGACTCGCGAAGAACTTCGCAATTAATTCGATCGTGGTAAGTCTCCATCATGACTGCATATTCACTGTAACAGCACGGCTGCTTCACAGAAATGTTCGGTCATGTACGAAAATTTGACTTCAGGGTGGACCCAACGTGGACCTGGATTCCGTGTACCGCCCGGTACACTGCATACCGAAAACCAATGAGTCCTCCATACAGTTCCGGCTACTGTGGGAGATGTGATTGAGGAAAAACTGGAGAACCCTTTGTAAATCGAAGGGCAGAACCTGAGACCTAATATACTGACTTAAGGTTGATCTGCTTTGGTTATCGCATATTCAGCGCCTTACTATTTTGTAAAAGAGTGGATTTTGCTTCTACGAGAAGCTCACCCACAAGACCTTCGTAAAGGCTTTCTTCTAAGCTGGGACCTATACGAAGTAGTCGTCAGATCAGTGGAAGTGTCTTTGAATATCCAAACCACTTTTTATCTTGAAAACTGAGACCACATTTTGACATTACTTTGTTTACGTAAACATGAAAAAAGGAAGGCCTACTCCTCAACTCGACAGGAGGGTCAATCAAAGGCTATGGCTCCCGTTTTTCCTATGATAATTCCAATGATCTTAGGGAAAGCTGAAGCTTACCTTTGATAGCTGATATCGACAGTGATCTCTTCGAGAAGCTCGATTTCCTCAAGACGTTCAGAAAGGCTTTCCCGTAAAGTGCTCGGGTTCAATCGATATGGGATTTTGAGATTTCGTCAAAAAAAAAATCGTCAACTTCCATTTTTTATGCCAACCCTCATTTCCATTTGTGAATAAAGGGATGGAGCTGCCAAGGCAGCGCCTTGAGGAGCTGCCAAGGCAGCGCCTTGAGGAGCTGCCAAGGCAGCGCCTTGTTCCCATTAGATCTATAGGAATTGATTTGCGCAATCGAACCAAACCTTAAGAGCATATCAAGGGGCTTCGGAGGAACGGCAGCGAATGCTCAGCAGCAAAAGCTACGAAGAGCTGTTTATCCTGAAATCCATCATAAACGCTTACCAGTAAAGTGTTGCAGTCCGAAAGGAGATGAAATTTTTAGATTTGAACAGAACATCTTTGAACCTCGATTTTTTTTTTGCCAACCCCTCTTTTCCTTTTCAGAAAGGAGCTGCTATGGTAGGACCTTGTCTAGGACTCCAATATGAGGTAGTTTTTTAGAAAGTTTTATGCTGTGATTATACTGTGCAAGATCTTGAAGGACAGTAATTTTGCTTCTGCAGGAGGGCAAAGTACTGAGAAGTTTGAAGTGGAAAGCCTATTCAACACCTAGCTATGTGATCCATGGACCATGCTTGTACGATGAGCTCATTTCACGACTCTCCCGCCTCAGCCTGGGCTGCATCTTATGAACAGAGATTCTAAATAGCTAAACAGACTGTCGGCCCTACCAAAATACTATTCCATCTGACCAGCGATATCCGACCGAGGTTGTCTAGAGAGTAGGATTCAGACCCGCGAAGAACTACTCAATGCTGGTTGAAATGAAGGCAATAATTTGCAAAGGGAAATCCAATTTAGGTGTTTCCTTGGTGTCTTCATTCATCACAGAGCACGTCTATCTGTGGCGAAGCAGTCCGGATGGAAAAAGGGAACCCGTGTTGATGTCATTCGAGTGCCTTCATAGAAATCCCCGCATTCTTCATCCCAAGCGAAGACCTCTAGCCTCTCACTTTTTTCTTTGGTTTCTTCCTGAAAACGTTCCTCCCCCATCAGAAGAGTTTTTCCATATTGTTCCGAAGTTTAAAGCTGACAAAAAAGTGCTTCAACCGAAAATACGAAACTCTAAAAATTTCGCTTAGAGAATGCGAACACGGTAGCAATGGTGGCAATCTTCTAGGATGCGATCAACACATGAGTAAACAAGAGCACGCCCGTGGACTCTCGCAGCGTTATCATCAATGATAGGGCATCACCAACTTCTCACAAACATCCTCTACCAGCGACGTTAACGGAAGACGCTGTCAGCAACATATTTGCCAAAAACATGTCCCGTTCAAAGGTCGACAACTCATTGAAATATTTTCTTATTCCACTGGCTATGAAACGACCCAACACTATGGACTAGCAATCGCGTGAACAACTATTGTGAATGTATTAGAAAAAAAAAGTTTCTAGAGGTAGTAAGCCGGCCACAGCAAACTCGAAACTTTCTTTCTGTGATTTACTGAAATAGGAACTGTAGTAAGTGCAACAGAATTGGAGAAAACAGACTGCAATATGATAGTGACATTATCGTACACACCGTAGTTGTCGGCACCCGAAAATGCTCCCTTCTGGTGGAATTTCACAAGAATTAGAATGTGAGTAAAGCAAGTCAAATCTGACATTGGAAATGGTAGAAAGCTATAAAGAGCATTTCTTGTGTACTATTACCACTCATTGTGATTGTATGGAATGTTGTATCCGAGTTCATTACTCTTTGTACCACTATATGCTCACTTTACGAATGTATTCTCTGTGGTGTAGTCCGTAAAGTGCAGGCAGTAGGCATGGAATGTATAGGCTCAACGATAAGGGGTGTGGGTTCACTCACCCAATTCCGGATGGACGCGGCAAACTCATCCATGGTGATTCAAACGACTCTGGTGCCTATCTTTAGGGCACAGGTTTCAAGTAATTTGGATAAGTGGGGCTAGCTGATGCTACTTATCTGCCCTACTTCAAATTTGTCCCCAATGGTAGGCGCCAGAGTCGCTGAAGTCACCACAAATTTCGCCACGCAGTTTGCCGCGCGCGCGAATTGGGCGAATGTTCGAACCCCCCAACCATCTGAAAACGCCTGCCTATATCTGCACTCCTTTGACCTGAAAGTGAATTGCGAACTGGCTCGGCAACTCATGGAATGTGCAGTCGAATGTGAAGTCAACAGAATACCTTTTAAATTCAGTCAAGTTGTGCTCGTGATCATCAAGCAAGGAGAAAAATATGATTGATGAGGATTACTGCATCGCATATAGAATTTCATCAACATGTTTCTTTCTTAAAACAATCAGCAAGCCCTAATTGTTTAACGGACGACTGCAAAGTTCGTTGCAGACAGTGGATGCGAATGTTGAAATGTGCCAACAGGAACATGTGCAATGTGAAGGGACTGGTCTGATGAGAAAGGAGGTGATCCTGGAGAGAAGTGCCATAGTAGCAAGGTAGCTGGGAGTGAGCCATAGGTTTCGAAGCCCATTCAGAGCAGCTGATTCTGCAGTTTCTCGCGCCGTCTGCTGGCAGTCCCTCGAGCAACACGTAGTGTTCCGATTCTGGAGCGATACTAGGGAGCAGACGTGGCAGATGTGATCAAAACCCATACCCCATCACTCATGAATATATCTGCGAAAATCGGAGGTGTTACCAGCGGAGTCTTCGGAGGACCCTTTGATGCAACGAATTAGCCTTGTGGATTTAAGTTGGACGGTGCCTTATACTATATACCGTCGTGTCCTCTGTATTTTTTCCGTTATGTTGAAATATCTCAACTTGGAGGAACCAGTTACATTCATAACAGCGCAATTGATTTGGAGATCAATTCCGCAGCTGTAGCGATAGGTTAGCGAGTGTTCCACTGTTTGCACGCTCGGGGCACAACCAGTCTCTCTAAGGCGCTAAACAGGAACAACAATCGGGAGTCAGCTGCAAATAATGTTAAGGATAGGTCGATACACTCCTTTCAAGAGCCTGAAACCAAAAGAGTTTTCACAACAGCTATTTTCTTAGCAGTCATTTGTAAACAATGCCAATGGACGAGGGCGAACAGATCAGTCAGAGTATTCGAGAATTGAACAAGATTGTTTGAAAGGGACATAATTGGATTGGCTCGGAATCATCAATCTCCTTTGGTTAGGCCCCGAATTTCCAAGATGAAGGAAATATCGTGTTGCATGTCGAGTCACGGTACCTTATTGTACTTATTGTGCGATTGATTGTGCCTATCAGCTTTTTACTTCCAAATTATCGAATGCACATCACTAAGAGCTCTGCCAATTTGATTATGTGGTGAAATGATAGGAACGCGATTATGTCATGAAATGACTTTCAAATCGATGGTTCACAGTTCGCCTATGAGGAATCAAGATTCAAGCACTAGGGATCGAGAACGATCCCTAGTGCTCTCACCCCGCTGTTCTCAGTTGCGCTTCAGAAGATCCAGTTCATGAGATTTCATGATTCACTACTACTTGCCGATTTCCCGTTATATTATCCATGTTAGGAGCTCACAAACATGTTCTTCAAAAGTAGTTTCATTGATTTTTTCCAAGTTCTATTCTCACTGCAGGTTGCTCAAAGGGCAGGTTCACTGCTCAGTTGTACTTTACATTCCAAATTGAAAAAATGTGTTACCTTCAACTCGCTCTCTACTCGGTTAGTTGGGTCTGAGCGCCTGAATGCATTCCACTTGCTATTCCACGTCATTTTTCTGAAAATTTCATTAGAATTGACAGCCATCAACATTATCACTCTGTAGAACCTAAGTTTTATTTCGACAAAACAAAAGTACCGAGCCGACCATGAGCGAGGGGCGTTCGCTAAGCTATTACAGTGTATTTGATTTTTCGCAAAAAGGCTCCAAAAAGATTAAAAAAGGTAGACGGACGATTTTTGAAAGCCGGCGAACACCTCCGCATTAACTTCAACGAAGGATCGATTCACACTTCCCTACTTCACGTATTTTAATATTTAATTTTTGATTTCATAATATCATTTCGAGACATTATCCGAAGTTTTGCCAAGTGCGGGTGGAACAGTTCGAAATATCATTAGCGAATATATAAGCTTTTTCTGTCTCCATGAGGTGATGCGCTCGTCACGGGATCCGCTACTAGGTGAAGAATCACATAGAGAGCTTTGTTTGGTTCAGTTAAGATTACGCTGAACGTTTTCGGATATGCTAGCTGAGAATAATCGCTGTTTCTGCTGATTCCCAGCTCTGTAACCGAGCTCTCTCGTAAGCACTATGCACAATAATTTATGTACGGAGTGTATTTTACATTGGTACTTAGCCCGCCACAAGCGACAAAACCGAAAAAACCTTCTCAAACGAAAAAAAATAGAGCTCCCGCTCCTGTCGTTTCTTTTGGGAAATGTCTGGGTTGCTGAATGGGTCCGTATGCCCGCAATCTGACGATATGGAGCAGAGACACAGCAATACAATGAACGGCAAGAGAGAGAGCAGACGACATGAGATATCATAGACATATTGTTAGCTGCTCTCAGACACCGCCCACTCATCCATTCAGAGGGAGTAGACGGGCAATGAAGTCATCATGGATTACGGTTGGATTCTACAGCACTCTTCCCCCCCAGAATTTCATGGCGTTTCGTCCACTTCACGTACCCCTTCATAGCAAACATTTCTCGTCACTGCTCTCCCTGTTTATCGTACCTACCTATAGTAAAATCACAAATCTCCCAGCTTTCTAGAATAAAGGCTTGGAGAGCCGTTATTCTAGAAAGCTCGGAGATTTGTGATATCACTTCCTTGAACATTTTCTTTATTCGATTGCAAGTGAGACTACCCGATTCTCCTTCGCAACAGAGTTACTGCGACTGGGTGCCTAACTTCATCATAGAGCAAAGAGAGTTATATCTGTGCGGCCATCATCTAGACAGATTGAAACAAGTGATCTTTGAAATTTTCAGAAAAAAAGTTCAACCACGCGCATGAATGCCAGGTGATCGTTCACATTCAATCCATTGTTCAGACCCAGTATGCATTCAAAGGATTAACGAATTGAACAGCCGCTGGACTCATGGCTTACCCCCAAAAGGGGACTAGCCATCACCAGAAGCACCACCTTCTGATGCTCTCATCAAACGACTAGGCTTATTGTTAGTAAAGCATGAGGAGATGATATAGGCACTTTTCCATGGGTAACTCTACGATAAAACTGGGTTAGTACTAATAATAGTAACAATAATAATAATAATTAATTATGATTATATTAACAATAGTAATAATAACGACAGTGAAAACAACAATGAGTGTAATGCTAATAATTGTAATAATAATACCAAGAGTAAAAATATGAATAATAATAATATATTTTAACAATAATGATGATGCAATTTCACATGTTTGGCGATTTGTTGGCAAAACTTCGGCTTTGAACGAGACTCGAAACCGCACTTGTGCTTCCTGTGCACCATATTCTTTATTCCTCTAACAATGGAGAATCCGCCGGCCCTCACCTTCTTAATAACAAAAATAACAGCAACTGTAGTAGTAACAGTGATGACTCCTAGTTTCAGAGAGGTTAGACTCTCCTTCCGAACTCTATTTAGAGTCGCAGTGGGGTCCCAATAGGCATTAGGTCCTACACTTCTCGGCGACCAGCCCATGGTCATTCAGTATTTTTATTTTCTCAGATAACCTGGCCCTGACCAACGGACTCAGGGTAAGTTGTTGAATGATCAAAGCGGGCGCCGATCCGAGATTCGCTGGCCGAACTTATGGTAAAGCCTCTTGAGGCGATCCATAACTTGATGGCCCACGCGGAAAGATAGAGACGTTCCGCATTGAACAGTTTAACTTATTCTTTTGATTGCTTCAAACCCATCGACTTCACTTTTCTTTGTCATCCGGCTGTTCACCTTCTTCAATGACACACTATTTCCCGTTACAGCACTAATGAAGTTTTTGTGAAGCTCGTAAACTCCTAAAATGCCTTTCTTTGTCGAGGACCGGATGCCAAGGTAATCTTTGTGTGAAACGGCCACACCACGCACCAAACTTTTCGCGACTCTACGGCAATAATGACGCAGTCCACTCTTTCCCTGTCGCAGGGCATCAAAAACGTCGTCGTACATGTTTACAACCATAACGCGTTCCGAGAACAAAGCAGTGGCATTACGTTGTCCGCGTTATTGCGCAAATGAACCTAACGATTTCGAAAAAGGGTGTGTGATGTGTAGTGTCTTCTGAAAATGCTTTGAGGTGTACGCAGCAACGATGCTGACGACGTCGACATCGGCGGGTGGGACGAGGGGAGNGGGGGGGGGGGGGGGGGACGTCGTATGGGACGGCGGCAGTAAGGCGGGCGATACCCCACATAAGGGAGAGACTACAGTGTATCCGTGCGACGACGACACCGCGACATAGGGCGGGATTGGAGCAGGTTACGCACGCTTATGCCTACTGTTGTTAGTCATTGTCACCATGGACAAGCAGGTACGTACCATATCACTTTACTAGGTGCTTGACCTTGCAATGGTGCATACTAGAAATGCCTTTCTAGAGCCTACGGTGAAGAGTCACTGAGCGAAGATTGCGCGTTTGCACCTGCAGTTCCGTGTTCATGTATCTTCTGAATTGCAAACTGTTAAAGTTGTAGAATCTGAAGCTGATAGTGTTCCGTTAGCACCTTGGCAATCCATCGCCAATTACAGAGTGAAGAATGCAGCTATTGCTGCCTGACCATAATCGCACTTTCGATCGCGTTCTGCTCGGCTGTGGTGACAATGTTGGTCGCTAATTACATGTACACCGGATTGCCATGTCGAGACGATCCAAAAACATTCTCCGTGAAAAACGACGAGGTTTGTTGGATTTTAGTCCTCGCCACTGTCTTTTATTTCGTTTTGCTTTGAACTCCTTATTTTTATTGAAACCTGTTGAATTGGTGATCGGTTGCGTCTTAATACGTCTTTATTCAAGTCAGTATCGTGTTTGTCTTTCGTCGTAGACAGTTCACCTTAGACAGACCCAACAGATTTTGACCCCGTTAATCGTTTTTACATTGTCTCCTGATATGCAGTTGCAAGTAAGTTTGTCCAACGGAAGACTACAAATGCTCAGCCTCATCCAATGGGGATGCTAAGTGTCACTGATCTCTGGTTTGGTTTGAGAAGGCTAAAAGGAAGGTTGTCACTTTCTCTACAAGTGAACTACTGCTTGTGACTTTCTATTCTCTGTAGTGATCATCTCTCCTCATTTATAACCCAAACTGGGTTTGTTCCCTTAGCAACCACAAGCGAAACCTTTTGAATCATTGAAATTTTCCTATGATTACCCTGCTGTGCGTGATTTTGCAGGGAAAACTCCTTAATCACGAGCAACGCAACAGGTTCGCATTACCGAATAATTTGTTGATGAGTGAGATAAGGTAGCCCACCGCTATCAAGTCGCAGCTAACCCGAATAGGCCATGCTCACATGTTTCCATTAATCCTTCATCAAAGAGTTTTTCGTCACGTGTCTGCCGACCAAATAGCCTTCCTTTGTACCATCACCGTTCGTGTGGCCGTAGCCGCCGGCGCTGTTAGGGTTGTTCTTTCATTTCGTATTAGCAGTTCATTTTTAATTAATCTCCACTACTTCATATTCTCCCGCTCCCTCCACCCTCCTCTCACTAAAAATAATCGAAATTCGATTCTTTCCACGCAATTGTCATAGCACTACAAACTGGTTTCGTCGCTTTATTCGCTATGCGACATAAAGGGAAAAACTGCTTAACAATGTGGCTTTTCTGCCAGCAAACAATCGTTTGGCCAGGATAGGCTGGGGGCTCCTTTGACCGGAAAGAAATAAACTCAGCGATTTCGGAACGATTGGGTCGCGTGAGATCTCGTTCTGATTTTTCAGTAAATGCTCATTTTGATTCACTCAACTCATTTTCCTCAGCTTTCCTTACTTATAATATAGAACTTGAGGATCACTGCTTGAGCACATGTGGCCGAAACAATCATTCGTTGCGATTGCCAGGCTTCGTAAGTGAAATATGTTGGTTCAGCAAAAATCTAGCCACTGAATAGTGACCAGGGTTGGGAACCAGCTGGACTCTTCAAAGCAACTATCTTAAGTGGACGAGATTTCACACCCAAATTGGAAGAAAGGGGTTGCTTCATGAATGCTTTAAGGCACATCGCAAATCGATATTTTTTGAATCAGCACGCGTGACCAAACACTGGCGGAGGAGGGGGGGGGGGGGGGGGGGGGGGGCAGGCCAGGCAGAGGTGCAGGTCTTTTCGAAAAAATCAGCAAATGAACTTGTGCTCCTATTCATCAATGCGTCGATTGAATGAATTTTGAAGTTCCACATCCCACTGTCAGAAAGTGTCGCCTCGTGATGGTCAGCCAGATGCGCTGTTGGGGATCAGCTGTTCGCAGATTTTTCTGTAATTCCATTTCTTTTTACTACTACTCTATTTTGTGATATGGCAACAAAGGGTAATTGTCAATGCCAGTCCATGGACAAGTCTTAGAATTAGCCTCAGAAACCGGTTTGACTACGAAATCTCCGATAGCAAGTTTCAGGCAGGTGTCAGGTCAATCGAACCTATGAAAGTAACAATTCGGTTGCCTACCCTACTGTTCTAGGTAGATTCCTTACCTTCTAAGAGCCCGAAAAACGTATGAGACCTATTCCAACGAGCATCAATACAAAATCGGAATAGACACCCATCACCAGGCATACAGAAGAGTGTAACAGTGTCAACCTTTATCAGTGCATGAAAACGCCCTTCATTGAAATGTCGGTTTTTCGATTCAATTCTCAAGTTAACACTACTGAACACGAACTGACGTAGTCGACGTCCTTCAGCGAACTTTGTGTCCGGTGAGAAGAGATTGCTGCTGGCTTTTTCAGCCGGCTACGCCCTTGTTTACTCTTTGTCGTCCTTGTCCCTGAAGTTTGTACCTTCTTGTCTTTTGATATGTCAAGCACATTTGATTCATGATCCGTAGCGACTGAGAGAAGAGAGAGTGAGTTGGGTGGCCGTAATGGATTTCCTTCCGATCTCGTCTTTACGCTATATCCACATTTCTCCTCCCAGCTTATTTTTCGAAGCCTTTTAGTGGTAGGGTAACGTTAGAATGGTATGGTCTTCAGCGACGGGGATAGTAATCGTAGCCAATGACGGAATGAGTAAGCCAGTCGCAGCGATACAACTTGTTTTTCTAAGGATCAGCGAATGCAAGACTAGAAGAAGACGCAATTGATCAGCGAATATCTCGCAGTTAGCCGTTCTAGGCGTTAATCTCGATTTGCTCCATTTCAGTTGTCATGGAATGGAAGTGATCGATTGGTTGTGGACAGTAAGGTGAGTTTGTTTTGGAAGATATGATTGAATTTGCTGAAGGAATGTTCACAATCTGGGCGACTGCTCGAGAAAATGGCTGGAATTTGGCCATGAACCTGTCCACATTCGCGCATTCCATTTTCCGCACCAATCCACACCAATCTAAACGGCGATCATCCGAACTCATCACTGTAAATGGGGAAGGGTCTTGATCTTTGGAACAAGTTTTGGGAAACTATTGGCCTCTGTAGCTGCTCATCCCACTGGGTCCTTTCTGGGGATAAGAGTACGTCCACATTGCTCATCTGCCTACAATTCCAGCTAAACGCCCTGCATGAGCTTTTCTGATTACTAAACGTAATGATTATAATTCTTTAGTGATTTTCAAATATCTTGGCGAAAGGCATGGGGACAAATAGCCAAACACGGAAAGTGACCGAGTCATCGATTCAATAGTGTTTTCACTACAGTAGGACTGTTTTGATAACGGATTGTCTTTTGAATGAAATATATAAACTGAAAATAACTAGACAGGTTTTACTCGGGCAAAATGCAACGATAAATTAGTTGTCAAGTGAGAAGGATCATGTTGTTGTGTTATCACGAGTCTGCCTGTCAACAGGCGACTTCGGTAAGACGATAAATAAGTGCTTGTGATTTCTTAGATGACAAATGGGTTCAGAATGAAGTCGCCGTTATTCGCGCGTGCGAGAAATCGCCGAGAGGCTGGTTGAGCGTGATGTCGCGCGCGACAATGGCAGCATAACCTGTGCACGCTGTAAACAGCGACCGCGCAGCGATCCATCTCGTGGATGGAGACCAACACCGTTTCATTACCGCGATCATTCATGAGCGGTCATACGGTTCTTATAAGAGAGTCAAGGCAGGCTTTACCTTCGGAATCCAAGTAAAACTTCCACCAATCATGCCGTATTTTAAAACGGGTAATTATAAATACGTCTTCGTTACTGCTAGCACTCGTTAACGCAGAACATATTTCGAATAGTAGCAGAGAGATGTGCGTATCCTCAGCGTTCATTAATGCAGACGGTTTCTGCCATCACCAAAGTAGGCCATGCCGATTTCCTTGCTGCTAATTTACTTTGCTTTGCTTTCCTGCTTTCGATTTTCATGAGACGGAGGAAGAAGTCTGAAACGAAGATGATCTGCTTTCTTAAACCCCAGTTTTCATCATTATTGAATTTTACTGCAAATGGTCGCACCCATTTCATTCTTTTAATGCCCTCTGACATTGTGATGATATTGGCTGGGGACCATTGATGGAGAAAAGGAATAGAAGACAATTGTATGCAGCAGTGAGCAGAAATGTAACTACCAAACATTCATTTATTTCAGAGTGTTATTGTTGTGAAGCTCGAGCCCATGAAACGTTGCTATATTATGCCCAGTCGATTTGCCCAGGTTGGTGAAGAATTTCGCAAGATAGTTGGAATATTTCTGTTGTATTGATTTTTTTGAGGTCAAATCATGTGATCCATTGGTTTTCAGTCTTAGAAAAAAGGAGTCAGGTTAATCCATCTCACATTGAAGAATGCCTTGCTATCTAAATTAATTTGTAGATGCTCACTTAATCTACGTAATATCTCACGCCTTCCCTCCCAGAGTTAACTGCATTAAATTTGTGGCATGATCCCATCGAAAAAGCAGACGCTCATGCTGACAATTTGATTTCCATGTGTCTTCCGAGACATCCTTTTTTTTTATCAACGGACTAATGATACACAGGCGTCCGCAGGTGTCCGCCACTTTCGAAATCCTATCGAAGGAGAGTTTGCACAACCTCTGTTTCACGATGATCACTCCAAAATTCTTCTCTCGAAGGATCTTGGAACAAATATCTACCAGGTTCTACTAAAGGTCCTTTTCCTGCAAAGCAGGCCGAAATAGCAGTTTTAGATATGGTTCAACGAATTGAATCCGATAATTTCATCAGAAACAACTTAGGTCCGGAACAGGACTCACATGGGGGTATACAACTGCTAATACGACATTGTGTTACCAAAGTTGTTTCTGGTTTGCCTGAATCCCTTTCTCTTCTGCCAGGGTCCTAGAAGTCTATGTCTTTCATTCCGCAGTATTCCTACATTTCCAACTTAAACGGGATTTCCTAATTCCAGGATTCACCTCGGAAGCAATTTGAAATCGTGCCAGAGCCGCTAAGTAAAGCAATAGCCACTCACTTTGCTGGTCAGGAGGGCTGGGATTTCTGCAAATCGCTCCCGATCTATTTGCTCGAGGAATCAACAAGTAAGTTTAAATCTTACTAGATGATGGATAACATATTTTTAAGCTCAAGGTGATAGAACACTGCAGCACGCCGAGAGGCGGTCGTCTAGCACGGTCCCTCGCATCACGCCGCCCATTCGACGCGGTTTCTGAGCTGGACAACTCGTCCAGACGATTCGCCCTCTAACCAACTACCCATCCAGCTGATATACGCCCCGATCGATGACGCCACACCACCACGAATAGCGGACCTACTTGTATTCTATCTATTTGCACCGATTAGTACGGCCAGGAGGTCGAATCACCTAGACGAGTTGTCCAGTT